GTGTGTGTGTCTGAGGTGCTGTCTCCACCACCTTTTAGCCTGTGAGGAGTTGCAGGCACTTCACGGAATCACAGACTGGTGGGGCTGGAAGGGACCTCTGTAGATCATCCAGTCCAACTCCTCTGCCAAAGCAGGGCCACCTCAAGCAGGTTGCACAGGATCACATCCAGGTGTGTTCTGAATATCTCCAGAGGAGGAGACTCCACAAGCTCTCTGGGCAGCCTGTAAAAGAAAACCTGCTGAGAAAATGGTTCACCACATCCTGACAGCAAAGGCATGTCAGTGGTATCAGTCCATGGCTACGCTTGTCCCCATGCCTGTCTGCAGCACAAGCCCAGGTGTTGAGCTCACCTGTGACCTGGAGACATCCAACATTGTGAGATGGATCCTACCTTTGGTTGCTCATTCTAGGGGAGGAAAAGCTCCTTTTGCTTCTAGTGCTGAGGTGCCTGGAGCAGTTTCAAAATGTTCCATGTGGGTTGAAATGAAGCTGGAGAAGCCAAAAATTCCTATGAAGAATGGCATCTCACACTGAGGCATGTTTCTGGGGCAACTCCAGGTTACTTTGCTGTAGTGGAAACTGCAAGGGGAGGATAGAAGTATGTGCTTCCTCTGAGTCCAGACATGCTTTCACACCAGATCTTCCATTCAAATGATGCCCAGCAAGCATGGACCTTCCCAAGGGAAGGCTTCACTGTTACTGCTGAATTCATGGGCTTCTCCAAAACGAAAGAGGATGCTCTTGCATATGTGCTGGGGTAGGTATGTTCATGCTAAGCCCAGGGCGGCTCCATCTTCCCACCACAAAGGACCCTGAAGGGAGATGCTAGTAGGGCTCAGAGGTGCTACTAGGGCTTTCACCTGTCTCTCCATTACTCCAGCCCCTAGGAGTAATGTTCCCAGAGGCTGGTGGTCATGCCTCAGCTTTGTTCCTTGGTGTTACACAAGCCCACACGGTGCAGCAGATGCCAGACCAGCTGTGACACCTGCAGTAGCTGAGGGGCTTGTCGAGAGACCGAGTGACAGAGCACTCCAAAGCCCCCTGTGAACTTGTCACAGCTCTACTGGATCAGGCAGAATGAGGGTGGCCCTTGCTTCCAGGGCTAAGAGTGGTTAGATATTTGTGTCCCTGAAGAGGGTTGGTGGGATGGTGAAGATACAGCCCCTGCTTTCTGCACTGGAGGAGCTCTGTGGTCCTCAAGCCAGGGGCAATGCAGTTGCATGTTTCTATGACCTTTGGGCACCATGACATCATGATTTCCTTCCTGTTTCCCAGAGTCACATACGGTCTTGGTGAGGTGCTAGAAGAAGTGGGAAACAGCCTGGATCACCTCCTTCCCTCCAAACACCCACTCAAAACAGTCTGTGGGTGAAATCAAGGTTGAGGCAACGACATCATGGGAGATCAGCTCCCAGGGTGCAGGAACAGGCTCTGGAGCAGGAAAAAAATCTAATGGGCTGGACAAAAAGATAAACCTAGGACAGAAATGAAAGGGTGGACTGCAAATACGGGGCAGAAGCATCATCGCTAGCAGGATGGCTGATGTAAGGCCTCACCTCCCTCTTGCCTTCAGCTGAGGGAAGCACATTCAGCAAGGAGACACAGTCCCTGCTCCTTTGGTCTCCTCTGGATGTCAGGACGTCCTGGCCTCCTCCTCGTTGTTTGTGACCAGCCATGGGAGGAGTGTGCCTGCAGATGACTCCTGACCAGTGCACCCTTTCCTCTGGTAGAGTGTGCCCCTTCCCCTTCAGCAAGGCTTGTCACAGTGGACTGCTTGGATCTTCTGCTCCTTCTCCTTCAGGGAGTGAAGCAGGTGGGGATGAATTATGTTTTGAAGGTTCAGGGTGTCCTAATGCATTCATCCACCTGGAAAAGGGAGACACAGAGGCAGAAGCAATAGTAAGGGCTGTGGGTTTGGACATGGGGCTGTGGCACAGAAGAGCAACTGATGGTGTCGTGGGGAATGCTGTAGGTACAGGGTGAGGGTAAGAGGGTAGTGCTGTGGAGGAGAAGAAACCGCAGGCAGGCTTGATCCCTGGGATGCTATGAGGAGGCCAGGGTGACTTTTGCTTTCTCCTTTCCTATCTCCTGCTTTCTGTTAGAAATTGCTGATGCAGAGCCAAAACCAGCCCCCAAATTCTGCCTCTACTGCTGCCTCCAGCCCTCTTACTACAGGCTGAACTAAAACACCCCTGCAGCGAGTGGGCTGGGGGTGAGAGAGTGGCTGGGAGAGGACACAGGGAGGACAGCTGACCTCGATGGACCACAGGGATGTTCCATGCCGTGTACCATCATGCACAATGGTAGAACTGGAGGGGGAGGGACATTTTTCCAAGGTACTGTTGCTCAAGGACGGGCTGGTCATTGATCTGCTGGTGGGAGGTTGTAAGTGAACGCTTTTGCTTCACTTTTTTCTCTCTCTCTCTTTTCTTCACCCATTAAACTGTCTTTATCTTGACCCACAAGGGGTTTTTTTTCTCACTTTTGCTTTTCCAGTCCCACGGTTGACCCACCCCAATCCACAGAAAGGAAAACCAGTAGAAAACCGATAGCTCCCGTCCTCTGTAGCATCTCCCCTTGCAGCCTTTGGGTCAGTGTAGCCCTGCAGTCCAAGATGCTCTGCAGTGACCCATGGGCCAGGGAAGTGGAGACAGCTTGGCAGCAGGAACCGACAGCAGGAGGAATTGCAAAACCGAGCTCCTTCCTCTGCCTCTAATCTCCTTGCCTGGTCTGTGCTGCAGCTTCTCCCACAAATGTTACAGCTGCCTCTCAGCTTTCCAGAAGAGCCATCCCCGTTTTTCCTGGCAAGCCACAAAGAAAGGATCCCTTGTTTACACCACAGCCAACTAGCTCAGGTAATGTACAGAAACTGTTTCTCACTGGTATGCCAACTAGGCTGCGGGTCCCCAGGTTGAGGTGCCTCAAGTTTCAAAGCCCAGAGTGTGCTGAGGAAGACATTTATGTAAGGGAACCTTTTCCCAGCATGTAAAAAGGTGCAGCTGGGGGGCAGGGGGGAATGCAGGGGCTCCTCCTGGGGCAGCCCTCCCTCCTTCACTGTGCAGAAGCAAGAAATTATGGAGCTGGTCTCTGGTGGAGACTTCTCCAAGGAGACAGCGATGTGGCAGCGCAGTTAAAGTGAGGGCCCTGCTGAAGGACAGGAGACGGGTTTGGCTGCTCAGGAAGCCGCAGATCCCTTCCCACAGCTG